ACAACAGGCAAGATTATTGTTTTGTATACTTTAATTTTCAGGTTCTTAGAAATCAGACGGGAAGACAAAATATTTTGAACTGAGAAGTAGCAAGCATTTCCAGAATTTAATCTCCTCCTAACTTCCTTATGAGTGTCATTTTGATTTGTTATTGTTGTTCCCAGATATTTGAACTTTGTAACCCTTTCAAAGGATTTCTTATGTAGTGCTAGTTTTATCAATTGGTTTCTTCCCTTTAGACTTACCGATCAAAATTTTACATGCATTTCTCATCTTCTCTACATCAGAAGCATCTGTATCCAAAAACATTATTTGTTTTGAAGTAATGGTTGATATTTTCTAAAGCTAATTATTGTAGTGTACATTTTTCTAAGAATTGTAGTTATTTACATAAATCGATTTTATGAGGTTTGAAATATTTGTTCTAGTACGTAACATGATTTCCACTATTTTCCATTCATTTGGGGAAATGACATGGAAAATGTTCTGCCTCTTCAATGTACGGACGTAGATAAGGTCTGATAAAATTCGAATTTGAATTCCGTAGCGTTCATTATCATACACTTTCCTCTACTAAAGTCGAGACCGCTAGCTCAACTATCGATTGTGATCTACTTAGCAAATCTGAGAATTTGATTCAAATCCACTGTCCTGTGTACATAGAAACCTACACCATCATCAGTTATTCGTTAACAGTTCAATACTCAAAGCATCTGTAGGTTCCAAGGTGAAATATATAATTTCGTAAGAGTTTCTTAAACGTTTGCTTTGAACAGAAAGTTTGTTCAAAAGAAGCCGCGACTTACCCGTGTCGTAAGTCACATGAATACAGTCAAAATCCTCCTACTCGATTTCCTTAAGATCCGTTTTAATATTATAATTCCATGTATTCCAAATATGCCAATTTTCCTTTGCTTAGATCCTTCCAAAGAACTCGTCTAAGTCCGAGGCTGTGTAATATTTTGCAAACCCCCCCCCCCAAGTTAGAGAACTACCCCTCGTCGGCTGTCCGCAACTACTTATTCGATGTATTTGGAGCTGTCCTCCATATCTGAAGGCCTGCTCCACCCGGATCCTGAAAACGCGCTATGCAGTCGTGACAAGGGCTGGTAACGTGGTACATTCGTGACGGAAATTGAGCAGATTAAAATCACTTGAGTTATGGCTCAGATAGCAAAGGCGGGTTCTTGTGTAATTAATTATCGCGTTCCACAAATGCTGGATAGTTGCTTGTGGAGTAGAATAAGTCTGCTTTCTTGAAGTTAAGAAAATAATAATTGACGAACATTTAACCCTTTGAGCCCGACACTCATGTGATTAATATTTAAGAATCCAGTCCGTACCGCGAAGAAAACACAACTCTTCACCATTACAAAGTTCAATCGATTAACGCTGTTTAAGGAAATGATCGCTGTTTATCGTCAAAATAATACGAAATCATTTACACAGTGTGGAAAAAATGCAGGGTTACTGGTTATTAAAGCGGGTGGTACATATAGTTACCACGGGGCGTTAAACAGTTGAACCTAATTTTGCGTAATATGTTTCGATCATTTCGTTCTCAGAGATGTGGAGGGCGAAGCTAGTGACAGCGACGCGGATCGTCGGGGCAGGTCTCTCGGGCTCTTGGGCCATGGGGCTGTTGATCCTTGTGGGGCACGCCGCCGGGGAAGTGAGTGGCCCCGCCACCATCATATCGCTCGTCATCTCGGCGACAACAGCGCTCC